TTCAATCTATCATTACCTTTGCCCCAAAATGTCAGAGCTCTTCTTAACCAATGGAACACACGTGATATTTCAAAGATGAGAACTATTATTTGGAGATCTATTTAGGTTAACCTTTTTTGGAATATGTGAAAGGAAAGAAATGGAAGAGTCTTTGATAGTATAAGTACAGATCTGCCTATATTAAAATCGAATATTTTGATAGTTGCAGCTGATTGGTTCCTTGCACATAAAGATAGTGGATTTATTCATAAAAGTGTTATCATTAACAATCCTTTGGCGGTGACGACTATGGGCGTTACCACCAATACTCGTAGTGAGGTTGTTCGGATACTACCACCAGTGAATTCCTTCAAACTTAATTTTGATAAAAGTTCACCTGGCAATCTAGAGCCAGCTGGCTATGGTGGACTCATCAGAAATAATTTGGGTCACACTATATTTTCTTACTCAGGTCCTTGTGGTATCACAACATCAGATGAGGTGGAAGCACAAGGTTTATTAGAAGGTTTGAAATTGCTATATACTTTAGAAGGGGGCAAGATTATCGAAGGAAACTCGACAAATGTTATTGCCTGGAGTAAGAAAAACGCTCATGTTCATTGGAGATTAAGGACTATTTTTCATCAAAATTAGGATATTTTGTCAACCTCTATGGCAACGGTCCAATATTGTTATAGAGAGACAAATGAAAATGCCAATGTTATTGCCAAAGGAGGAGTCATTACTCCATCTCTGTTGGTTACTTCATTTCTGTAATATTGTGTCTTTGTTTGAACATCTTGTATTTTACATATAAATTAATGATATGTCGTACATTATTGTTCTAAAAAAAAAAAAAAAGAGCTTTTGGGTGAGAGATGGGACAGAGACTATTGTTGTCATCGTTTCCCCTCTCTTGATGTGTGAATGCAATTTTTGGATGGTGGATATACTAGGGCCTGCATGGTATTAAGTGTGGGCCCTGAAGCACCAAAGGCTTTTCCTTAAGAAACAGAACCTCACAAACTAGAAAATTAGCCAACTACCCAAATGCGGGAAAAATGAATATAGGAAGGTATTTTGTAGGGCTGCAACATTGTAAAGTTGTATCTCAAATATCGATGGAGAATGTAACAGTGGTGTCAGAAAATATTCGACAATCTTAGAAAAAAGAAAAAAAAAAAGAATTTTGATTTCTAAAAATGTGTATTTCTCATATGTTCTTAGACCATCCCTTTTAAGTATTCTACATCACTTTTAATCTTCAAATGCTATAATCAATGGCAAAAATAGATTTGCAAGTAATTGATATAACATAAGAGCTATAATTACCATAGTCATACGAGGATCGGACCACCTGGTCTAATTGGTCGGATCATCGACTTGTGCCTTGACTGATTTGATTTAAAAAAATTTATTTAATTGAAAAATAGTCAAAATTAATGTCTGACTAATTTTGGCCTATCGAACCATATGATTTCGACCGGTTTGACCTACTAAACAAAGTTGAGAAATATTTTTTAACTATATTTTGTATTATAAACTATGATTTTTATTTTCCTCATTGTTTTAAAAATATTATACAACATATTCTGCTGGTAGTCAAACTTGTTTTGATTAGACCAAACCTCTCATCAATTTAAAGTCGGTTAAATCCTAATAACTATGACAATAACTACCTCACTTTCTTTTTTTTCATGGAATTTTGAAAAACATAACACCAGAAACCACTCCCTCTTGATGTACTTGGAATGGCCATTTATGCAGATGTAATGGGGTAATAAATTTACATCTACATACCTCAACATTCATGTTCCCACATTTCAACAAATGGTGCTCTAAGAATGAATATGTATAATATGTGAATCAATGCTTGTAGAGAAAAAAGACAGACAACTGATGCCATGGGAATCATTATTACTATTTTACCCCATTTTAATCTGTTGAACCCCAATTGTTATCATTCATTTGAGGTTAGTTTGAGCCCATTAAAGATAAAAAACAAATATTCTTTATGGGAAATGTTTCTATGACCTCAACAACATATAGCCCCACTTCTTAATCATTTGATCTGAATCGAATGGCTAAGATTGTTCACAATGTTATGCCAAATACTATTTTATTTTTCATTTGTTTCTACAAAGAATTTTTGGATAAAATTTTGGTGTCCCATGATAAAATTAGGGCAAGCCTAAAAACAATAAAAACAAATATTTTTATAAAACTCAATGACCAAAATACCCTACATTTTTTAGGGGTATTTTGGTAATTTTGCACCATCAGAATTTTTATTATTATTCTTTTTATCATGTGGCCCTCTATCAAATCTATGCATGACCCAAATTTTGCTTCAAAATTATTTGTAAAAATAAAAATAAAAATTATGAGCCGTCTGATCAAGATCTGATGGTTAAGAGCTAGCTGGTGACATTCTAACTCAAGCCATTTCAGCCATCTAGTCAGATCTGATGGTTGGGACTAGGGTTCACATATATAATTGGGTGGGCTCACATAAAAAGCTTTCCCTTCTTTTATACCATTAATGATTTCTTGCAACTTGTCCCATGCAAATTGAGGGCAAAGAGACAAAATATTCATTTTCAAGGCAAAACACAAATTGACATTTTATAAACTGTGAGTTTGTCACTGAACATGTGGCTGCAAGTTTGGAATATGTATTATAGGCTTGCACATAATTAGTCCACCGTTTGTGCAGGCTCAACCATCCAAATTATAAATAATTTTTTGTAAATTTTTATTGTATAGAAATATATTTTATGTTAAGATGCTTACACTAATTTAGCATTGTAGTTAATAAATTTTGGACACTGATATACATTTGTTTTGTATATATTAATAGGGATATTTTTGGTCATTAATAGAGGTATGATGTCATCCATATAAGGTGTGACAATACTCACAGAGAGCACACTAGTGGCATTTAATGCTTTATGAGGGTGATGTCCCACCTCATGAAGATGATGTCATACCCCTCCTAATGACAAAAAATATCTGTACTAAAAACAAGTTCTATATACAAAACAAGGGTATATAGGTTTCCAAATTTATTGTGTATAATGCTAAATTACTTCATAGTGTGAGCACCCTAATATAAAACCCTTTATAATGATTTTCAGAATGTATTGGACCTTATTTATTAGGACGAGAGGAAGAGTTGTTTTTATAACAATTATTTTAGACTATGATATTCTAAATAATAAAATTCAACAATGAAACAATTAAGGGAGTGTCTTTCTTCAAGGGCAATATTATTTAAGCACTTAAAATCCCTTTAATATTGTTAAGAGGTTTAAAAGATGTCAATTGATGTTAGAGGGTTCACTTTTTAATTTTTCTCTCACTCATATGCCTCCTTAAATAATATAATCGGCATTGTTTTAGTTGGAAATTTAGAAGAAACACGAGTATTGTTGATGCCCCCTAACTCGTGTCATTTGGCTGGTTCTCTTAGGGGGTCAAATTAATGAAATGCTTATGTTTACTCAAGGCGTGCAACCCTAAACAAGGGTAAATTGGATATTTTTAGATACTTTTTTTTTTGTAGGTATTTGAGTGAAATGAAAATTTATGTGAATTAATTATTGTTAAAATTAGGGAAAATGATGAGGACGCTGTCCCTAAATCCATGTATGACATAAATCAAATTCCCATTTGTTCCTCATGTATGTCTTTATTATTATTTACTTCCTTTCATGTAGTTTAGCAATAGGAATCGAATTTGTGATGTAGTGTTGTTATATTATATTTTAGTATTAATAAAAGCAAACAATATTTTTACATATATTATTTTCTACGATAGTAGACATGGACCTCTCCAGTGCTCGAGCTAGGTTTTTAAAAGTACTACATACAAATAGTGTTGAGAGATGAGTGTAGGATGTGTTTGTCCTATGATAAATAAAGAAAAATTATCTTAGTATAACTAAGATATTAACTATTTAATATTTTTTTATAAAAAAACTCTTAAAAACACTTACAGGAGAAATTGAATAGTGTTTTACCCCACATGTTATGTCCATGACGGTCTTTTAATCCACGTTGTTCGAAAAAATTGGATGGCACTGAGCCTGTAGTCAAAAACACTATTCATTTTCACATATTCATGTTTTATATATTGGTGCAGTTGACATACGGATGCGTCTGTAGCTATAGAGGTAAAGTGCACCTTCAAATTTTATCATGTTATATAATTTTGATGTAAAATGTTATTAGGATTATCTCAAAATATATTTTTATATCTAATTATAAAATATTAAATTTTAAAAATGGTTAAAATCAAATAGATCTATAAACATATGAAAATCTTGAAAATGGACGGTGTAGATAATATGTTGTAAAATGCACTATTTCCAAGACTTAAAATCTTTTTATTTTTCATGGTCATACATCTCGATGTCGAGATGATCAATCAAAGGGTTTTTCAACATTAAAACAACCTTTTCCGATGGACTTGTGAGGTGCATTCGTAGTTCTATATTATAAGGTTCCATCCTTATATAAACTTTTTCTTTTATATATTTTACTTTAGTTTTAAAATATCTCTCAACAATATGAAATAATTAATATTTTTTTTATATATTTTACTTTAGTTTTAAAATACCCATAAAATAGACATGATTTTGACTTGGAATAATTAAAAAACAATTAGAATGTCAAATAGTTGTAAAATAAAGTGTATTTTTATAAAAATTGTATACTATGAGACCATTTATTTTTTGTACAAAAAAGTCACAATCACTTTTAACCATTAGATATGAAACCTAATAGATAAAAATATGTCACACAATACAAAAAAATTTATTTTAAACGTTTTACTTAAACAACCATACATCATCAAACACTAAATTTAAAATCTAATAGTAATATCGATTGTGACATCTTTGCCTTAAAAAATAATAAACGGCCTCATTGTATGCAATCCCTTCCATTTTTATACGTTTTTTTGAGATAAGATGAAGGGTTAATTGCTAAGAGATGAGAGGAATGTACTTGTAATTGGAGAAATAATCAAGGGTCGTTGTTAACATTGGCGGCAATTCCTGTCGCGCCTTCTTAAATAAAAATTCGTGCCCTAATTTCTCTTTCTAGAGAGTATACTTCGCAACAAAAATGACGAAGAAAATTTGCTCTCTCTAAAACGAGAGCTATTGAGGCTTTCAATGGGGAGAAGAAAAGCACGGTCTTTGCACCACTCATGCCCTAATTCTCTCTCTAGATGAACAACTTCTTTCCCAGGGGAAGGTAATTCTGGTCTATGCACTCTCTCTCTAAAATTAAATCAGTGAAGAATTGAGGTTTGGACATGAAATTGTCAGTGCCATGCCGTAATGCCTTCTCCAGAATAATAGTTTCTCTCTTGAAAAGGTGAAATTTTGGTCTATGCCCTTTTTCTTTCTCTAAAGGAATAGTTTATCGCAGAAGAAGATAATGGGTTTAGAGTTGGAGGTGGTGCCAAATTTTAACTCAGAAGATGTATTGTTGTCGTATCCTAGAGGGGGGCCAATATTCATTGCTGGTTTTGTTGGCCCTCTCACTAGTGTGCCTGTATTTGAGCTCTCTGTAACTGAGGATTTTGATGTAAGTTTCCCTTTTATCAGAGCTTTAATTTTGCACATCTTTTGTTATATCTATTTCTCGTCTTTTATTTCTCTTACTCCTGTGTCCTTGTTGAATGATTTCATTGGATTATTTAGTATGCATCCTATCCAAACCTAATTATGTGAGTATTTGGTTGCCAATTCTTTGAGCTTTTGCCATGGAAGAATTTGGATAATCTTTGCATGGTTGTATGTTGTTGGTGGTTTCAACTTTTAGTGAAAATTCCTCTTTATCAGTTTTTTGTTGGCAAAAAGTGATGATTAATGTACTATTTTTTTGTTTTTTACACGTTCGCTATTTGTGAAACTGATTGGGAATTAAGGAAATGGGGTTCATTTGTTACCTCTCGAAAGAAAGAAAATGAAGTGCTGTTCATTTCATACCTCTCAAAAGGAAAAGAAAAATATATTTAAGTGAGGATTATTCATCAGGCTGAAAAATCTAAGATAACTACTCACATTGTTACCTGGAGAAGCAACAGTTAAAAATTCGCTATAGTGAATACTTAGTTACCATGAGACAAGTTTCTATGTTTGAGATGATGTTTAGAAATATTGGAAGTTTGCAGAACTCGAACAGGAATCTTTTGGCCATTTGGATGGAAATGAAATGGGGAACAATGACTTGTCTCTTTTGCTTTGTGCATATGTTCTTTGTAGTTTCTAACCACATTTCATTTTACTAATGTGTATTGATAACCATTCGGTTGTCACAAAATTATTGTTTGGATTTGGTTCGACGCTCACCAGTCATAGAAATAACTGCACTTCAACCACATTTTTGCATTATTATTATTTTTTAATTCATGATTATTAAGGGGTTATCCAATACACCTATGATTGGTTATTTGTTTATATAAGATTTTGACGTAGTTTATGAGGAGGGGCGAAGATCTAGTTTGCACATGCCGATTTCTTGTTTATGTTCATGCAATGCTTCCACTTGTCTCACTTCATGGATGAAGTCTTGGAACCAAGAGACCGTTTAAATAGTTCCTAATAGAGTCTGTTTTTATACTGTAATCGAGTATGACATTTTGTACTATTATATTAAGTGATCTTATGCAGTTTTCTTATGCCATTTTGGCCTTGTGCATGAGGGTCTTGAAGCTTCATATAGTGTGCTGCTGTGTTCTATATTGTTGACTTCCTCATTCCCAACTGCATTGTGCATTGTTACATATGCAACTTAAGGTCTGGCTCATATTATTTTTTAATGATGCAGGCCTTGCAGGCAGAATTATGTTCAGATATAAGTCAGTCATACGATGATGAGCTTTTGTAAGTCCGTTGGGTTTGTTGACTGTTCATTCATTTGGTTTGTGACTTTGTGTTGTCGTGTTTTGTGATTTGTGTTGCATACTTTGCTTTTCAGATCCTGTGCATGCTTCTCTCATTTGTACCTGAAATTAGGGACTGTAAATTAAAAGCATAATTCTTTGACAATTTGTTTTTTTGTTCTCAAGAAAGTAGAGGATGAAAATATCATTTTGAGAAGGTCCCTTGTGCAGATACTTGTGTAACAAAGTTCATGATGATGGGGTAGGTTATTAAGGTGGTTGTGTAAGTTGCATCTGTTGAACTTGGGGGTACCAGAGTATACTGATGATGATTATGGAAATCTCCGCACGGAAAATTCATTGATTGAGAGTGAGATACAATAAAGCACAGGAAGAAGGTGTGAACTTCATTCAAGAAAGGCCTGGATTTTTTTTTCATTTGTGAAAGTGCGTACATATAGAATCTGTGTGTGAGCATGTCAAGAGATACTTCTCTGTGGGAATGCCTATGATTCCACTTGAGAATATTAGTGTTGGGAGGTAAACTGTTTCCCGAGTGCGATTGCAACGTTCCTGCTACTAACTTTGTTCTTTCAAATGTTGAGAATTATGTCCTGGATGCTAAGGGCGAGATGTGGCTTGGATTGATTGGGTGTTTGGGCACAACCGTAGGTCATGCCTGTTGAAATTCATATCTATGAAATAGCCAACCTAACTGAGCTTTATGAAGCTGTGAATCCCTCATGGAATTTGTTGGCATGGAAGGCTACTGGGTTCTTCTCTTGCACCATTTTAATTTTGAGAGCACAGAATGAAACTGACATTGGTGTTGTTCCTATGGAAGCGACTTGGTGTTCAATAGTTTAGCAAACTTGAGTTTATACTGGAAAGCACCTGACCATTTTGAGGAGTGTTCTGCATTAGTGGCCAACTATATCTGCTTGGAGTTAGTAATTAATTGCAAAAATATTGGTTTTGCTCCAGTCTTGTATGCTATGGAAATCGAATTTCAGGCCAAGGTTCTAGCCAAAAGGAATTGACATGGGCCTGCACAAGCAGTGGAGCATGTGGTTTAATTTAATGCAAAGTGAAGAACCTTACTAGGGCTTGACGTGCCGCTAATCCTCTTGAAAGAGAGGGGTGCATTCGGGAATGTGGACACAGGTGGTGCATGGTTGTCGTCAGCTCGTGCCGTAAGGTGTCGGGTCCCGTATTTTTCGTCTTCTTGTATATTCCTCGAATAATCCTCCGGTTGTGCAAACCAAAGGGAACGATGACTTTGGGTAGCACCAAGTCTGAAACCAAGTGGATTTGTTTTTTGTCCCATATCTATCTATTGTAATTATTATTATTATTTAAAATATTACTATTGTAATTAGTCTAATAGAATTTGGTATATTAGTAGAATAGAATTTTGCTTCTATATTTCGAAATTTAATTTAAATTTTAATTAGATTTTTAATTTGTACACATCGAGCCTCGCTGTTGTCCACTACATTCAAATAGGTTTGAGCTTTCAATCTTTTTTTTTTATTTTTTGTTTTTGCAAAGTATGGGGGAAAGAAGGAAATATATTTCAAAAAGTTGTGATTCGTTCGCGGAAATGTTTACAAAGAGACCATTTACTTTTGGCACAAGGTCACAACCACGTTTGTCCATTAGATTTCAAATCAGTTGGTTACAAGAGGGTCATTGACTAGACGCAAATTTCCAAAAAAACAATTCAAATTTTGTGACATACCTCAAGCTGTCCAATTTGACATCTTAGGGCTAGGAGTAATTGTGACCTCCTTGTAACAAGTCTCATAGTTTACAATCCCTTTGTTCGCGGCCATTTCTCGATTCTTGGATTAAAATTGTTATGTAAGCCTGTTTTTTGGGTTCTTTATTGAATCATAGGCACGTTTTTCACAAAAAGCCACAAAATTATTGAATTTGCGGAATTGTATTTCGAAAATGCTATTCGCCTGAAAGTTTCAATCATTTGGATTGACTAAATCTGCTTTCAAACCCCAAATCTGGTTTAGGGGTTTGGATTTGGAGTGTTTGAGGACCCTTTGACAATGTTTGGAAGGATCAACTAGCACAGAGGTTAAAGATTGGAAGATAAGCTTTGAAATTTTGGGTAATTTTCTTTTTTGTCAATTTAATTCCATATTTGATTGATTTCATTTTGAACTGACCACTTGATCTGGTAATAATTCAATTTGTATGCATGTTCTATGATTTCTTATTTTTCCTTCTTTTAATTCTTTATGAATTTTACCTCATTTCTTTGGGATTTTTCTGGCCCACTTGAGGAAAGCTCAGTGAGTCTATGTGGAACTTGCCAGGCTGACTAACTCCATGCTCTATGTGATTTCCAGAGCGGGTCCGGGTTTTTACCAACACTGCTTTAAGAAGCAGCCCATATGGTCAATTGAAAGGATAATTGGTACTAGAAGGGGGGCCTTTTGACTACAGAAATGGAGGAGAAATCAGGGTCACCTCAATTGACAGTGACAGTGTTATAGAAAATAGTGGATCATCCACAAATGGGTTGCCACAAAAATGGTGAATTGCCTGGAAAAGAGAGTAAAAATGATGGAGAAACAAGCAGTGCCCCCAATTTTTATTTTTATTTTTTTTTGGGGGGGTGGGGGGTGGGGTGACTGAATGATAAGTTACTGAGATAGAGTTTACAATTATCTCATGAGAAGTGAGTCTTGGGCATCCCACAAGCCTGGTGCTCTGTACAAAAATGAATGTGGTAAAAATGGGTATACGGCAGCCCATATGACAGGTGCTGAAACTCATGAGACCAAAAAAGAAAAGGGGGTAAGCCACAAGTCCGGTGCTCAAACCTTAGAAGACAAAAAGAAGGGAGGGGTAGCCCACAAGCTGGGTGCTCACATGTTCTATCACAGAGGAGTAAATGATGGAATCTCACAAAACAGGTGCTCAAAAACTTCGTAGTCATAGAAAGGAGAGTAAGGAGCGTGAGGGGAGGTTTGAGGAGAGGGGAAGGGGTTGAGACTAGAGAGAGAGAGAGAGAGAGAGAGAGTAAAGAAGAAATGCCTAAAGTAGTGGTAATAGGGAGGGATGGCAGAGAAAGGAGAGGAGGGTTCGAATTAGAAGTCAGGTTATGATTTGAAGGGAGAGAAAGAGGTGGCCAGACAAGGTTTCAAAAAACGCTAGGCGGCCTGCCTGGCGCCCAGCGCCTAAGCGGGCGCCTAGACCCTCGGGTGCCCTGTAGTTTTTCACTTTGGGGGTTTTCATATATTGAGAGTTTTTTGTTTGACTTATGGGGTTAAAAATAAACCCCATAATGTTGTTATACAACCTTGGGGGTCAAAATGACCATTTTTGCCCTTTTGGGCGTTTTAAAAACACGAAAAAGGCCTTGCAGCCTTGGAAGTCCATCTAGTTCGCCTGGGTGCCCGCTCAGGTACATCCGTCCGTGTAGACCCATGCACCTAGGCACATCCGCCCGTGTAGACCCAAGCACCCAGGCACATCCGCCAGTGTAGACCCGCTTGGGTCTAGGCGTGCGGATTTTTGGTCTAGGCAGCCTAGGCGTCATGTGGACTGTTTTTTAAAACATTGTGGCCAAAAGTGAGAAGAGAGTTTAAGGCATATAGAGGAGTGCTTCGTTTGAGGCGCACCAACAAACAAAGTGTGAAATGTATGGTAGTGAGATAGCATAGAGGGTGCATATTGGGGGCCAAGAAAAGAAAAAGAGGAAGAGGAAAGAAGCAGGGGGAAAGGAGCAGAAAAAATCAATTTTATTGTATTAAAGTATAAAGATATTTAAGAAGGGTGCAGGTGGCATACGGATGCATCCGTAGCTGTAGAGGTAAGGTGCACCTTCAAATGTTATCATGGTATATAATTTTGATGTAAAATGTTCTTAGGATTATCTCAAAATCTATTTTTATATCTAATTATAAAATTTTAAATTTCAAAAATGGTTAAAATCAAGTAGATCGATAAGCATATGAAAATCTTGAAAATTGACGGTATAGATAATATGTTGTAAAATGCACTATTTCTAAGACTTAAAATCTCTTTATTTTTCATCGTCATACAATTCGATGTCGAGATGATCAATCGAAGGGTTTTTCAACATTAAAACTACCTTTTCCGATGGATTTTTGAGGTGAATCCGTAGTTCTACATTATAAGGTTGCATCCTTATATAAACTTTTTCTGTTCAAGAAACATGTATTCATTTCCAATACAAAAAGGGATCAAAGTGCAAACCAGTTTTTAGCACACGACTGGGAAGTCAAGTGTGGGTTGAATTTATGACAAAATGTTGGGAGGATGCAACTATTTTAGCTACAGCGTCCCGGGATGCATTAGCCTCTATCCAAGAGTGCTTGAGGATTATTTGAACAGCCTTGTTGATCTAAAAAATTTGGTCAAATATAGGGTTCAATAGCTATGAGGATGTGAAAACTCTGCTTACCTATTAAATAACATTCTGGATATCCCCTTTGATTATAAATGATCTGACCTTGTATCTATAAACCTTCCCATAAAACTTGTGCCGTGGCCAACATGGAGTTGGAGATGTCAATGGGGCCCAAATGGGACAAAATGAACTGAGCCGAGCTGTTTGTGAAGGGCCCCTTTGCGTCGTTCCTGATTGTCCAGCGTTGCCAAAGGAGCTACTTCGAACTTTAATCTGATTACCCCTATCTCAGGTGGAAGCCAGAGATTTGCTTAGGATAATTATCATTCTGATCTTTAGGATTACACTCCTAACTGCGCATAAAATCCACTGAAGTGAGGGCTCGGAACTCCTTTTGGAACCTGGCCCAGGAAATCACCACAGATAAGATTTGATCCTCGACCCCCACTTACTGGTCTCTCAGCCAAATACCCTGCGATCGCGCTCCAGCCAAACAGCCTAAGTTATTGCCGTGAAGGAGGTATACCAGAGTAAGAGACCCGAGTAACGGTGTGGGAGCCAGAAGTGCAAAAAACTGTTGACTATGTGAGGTGTGGCCTGCTCGCAGTCAAAGAGCTGTAGATAAGAGTACCATTAGTGGCCCACCACCAGACAGTGTATAAAAAGGTTATTGATGGTTTCCTCCTCTTTGCACATGGCTCATTGATTAGTAGGGTGAACTCCTCTCTTTGTTAACCGATCAACCATGAAGGCTTCTTGGATAAGACCAACCACTCGAATTCCTGGATTTTGGGTGGGACTGATATGAACCTGTCTTTATATGCTATGGTTGGTAGATTAGAACTTTGGTTGATAGTCTGGTAAAACGAGGAGACCTAAACCAGGCTGGAGCATGCAGGGGCCCGCAACATCTTGTCCCTGCCAGAATGAGGGACAAATTGAGACATTGAAAGTTCCAATATACCGGCCAGAGCTGGTATTTCAGAGTCCAATAGATTTGTCCTCGATCTAGGGAACCAATCTAGCTGGTCCTCCATTACTCCGTAAGACTGAGCCACCATAATGTCTCGGTCCATGACAAGGGAGTATAAACTTGAAATAGAATCCGAGGTAACTCACCCATCCAAAGGTCCTTCCACAGCCTAATCCTCTCACTGGATTTAACCCAAACCAACTCGAAAACACAGGGTAAGACTTGTATCCCTTTCAATGTACCTTAGGCGTGAGCATTGGCTGTGCCTCTGGGGAGTCAGTTATCTGACGTGTTACCTCAATTGGCATTCTCTAAGATTTCTCATTCCCAGATTGCTGGAACTTTTGGTTTATAAACCATATCCACCTTATTAGGTGAAACCTCTTAGTCCCACCTGCTCCGGTCCACAGGAACTCTCTCATCAAGCATTCTAGCCGATTGACCATGGCAACTCGCATCTGGAACAGCAATGTATAGAATATAGGACATTGGAAACAGTTGCCTTAATTAGAGGGATCCTGCCAGAATGACAGGAACCTACCTTTCCGTGCTGCTAATTTGTGTGAAGCATTCTACAACTGCGTCCCGTTTGTCCTTGCATGCTGCCAAGTGCCTGTTAGCAGCACCTCCACTTTTCAGAGAAGCTACGAAATTGCAGTCACCCTTAATTGTAGTGGAGGAATTGGAGGCGACGGTGAGAGTGGATCTGACGATCACGGATGTTTGGTAGTATTTTAATTTTAATTTTTTATTTTTTACAAATTCAAATCACTTGAAATTTTAGGCGTGTGTTTTTCAAAAATAGGCAAATCTACGAAAAATATTAAAAAAATATTTTACATGAAATAAATTGACAAAAATACGTCCCAAAAGTTTCGGGGGTATGTTGGTCAATGTTTTTTTCGTGAATTATTATTTTTTTATATGTTTATTAGGTGCACTTTGATGAGAAGAACGCACTTCTAAAATTTCAAGTGATTTGGATTTGTAGAAAAAAATTAAAATTCAAACACTACAGATCGGCCTAGATTCCATCTGGGCCATTGGCGTTTACTGTAGTGATTAGCGAGTGGGTGTACAGAATCCACTCCCTATATATATATCGAGAGAGAGAGAGAGAGAGAGAGAGAGAGAGGTAGGGTAGTAGTGTACGTAGTGTGAGAGAACGGAA